TTATAAACCTGTCTTCAGCCTGTATTGGAAAGAATATGCTGAAAGTGGAATTAGGAATCGCCTGGAAGAGAGGGTGTTCTATTTGAATCCAAAGCAGAGAAAGGACCTTGGGGAGGAAACCTGAGCTTCCCCCGAAGCTGTTGTGGGAAGTGGAGATTGACATTTGAAGGGAAGACCTGCAGGGAGAAGACTGGCTGTTTAAAATTCGAGCAGGAATTTTTTTTTTTTTTGCTGGTGGATGCATCTATGCAGGAAAGTCTGTGCCCATGAGGAAGCCCCTTTCTCGTACGGAAAGTGAAAGGGAGCCAGTGAACTTGGTGTGCTCGTCATAGCAACCACCAGGATTCACTTGCTAAGTGGGAGTTGGGCAAATACAGCAGTGAAGAGCCGGCTGAGTTTGCACACGTCCCACCGGTACCACTGACCTGGTCCACAGTGGCTAAAGATGAGAAGAGGAAGGGCTAGCTGGTCTGCAGTTTTTTAAGAGTTGTACAGATCCTAAGTCTGTGAGCAGGACCTAGCCCCAGGGCTCTACGGCTGATGCATGTGTGAAGGGGCCAGCTAGCCTGAAGTGCATGGAGATGTACGTGAACTTGCAGCTCACATTCAACTGACCTATCGTGGATGGCTGGGGTTGAGATGACCAGAGCCTGAGGAATAACGAGAGATGTCGGAGGGTGAACTGCTGGAAGTTGCGGTGTGTTTCCTGGACTAGACCTTGCTTATGGTTGGCGTTCCAACCAGAACTGAAGATTTCTCACATCAAGAAATATTCTTGTCTCTCAAGACTAATGGATGGTTTGGGATGGGCAATTTAGAAACTGGATATCTAAGATAGGGGCAGATCATGGCAGGAAGTGCTGACTTCCAAGCTTTTATAGGTGTGTTCATGGTAAAATGACTGAAAGTGGTAGGGGGGAGCTATCCTACATGTATGAAGGGGACAAAGGCTAGAAAAGGCAGGGGGTGGGCTGCAGGGGCAGTGAATCATTGATTGTGGCTCTTCTAGACAAAGTCTCTAACCCCCACCAAATGCCTTTCCCGCCTGCGTCTGGGAGAAGACACTGATGGGATTCACTTGTGAGTAATATATGAACAGGAGCAATTGTATCGCCATCCTACTGGGTGGAAAAGGAGCCCTCTGAGAAGCAGGCCGGGGGACCTCACTGCCAGCAAGAGCCAGGTGTGGAGTGTGTCCTCTATATCTCGGGAGCCCTGCACAGTGAACCTCCCTGACCCAGAAGACAGCTGTGACCCCAGAGCAGCAGCAGCAGAACCAGGAACCAGAGCATGAGACAGAGCAGGACTTCCCAGCCCACCGGACAAGTAAAGCCAAGTGCTCTTGGGCAGGAGGCTGGCATGAGAAGTGGTGTGCCTCTGGGCGTTTAATTCAGGGAGCTGGCCTTGGGGACCTACTGAGCTTGAGCTGAATGTTTTTGGGCTGAGGCTTACTGGAGTTGGGTGCCTTTGGGCACTTAATTCAGGGAGCGGGGTTTACTGACTCACTGAGTTTGAGCTGACTGCTTGCATTGTGGCTTACATCGGTAACAGACCCCAACTGACCAGCTGTATTCTGAGCATCGCTCGCCTGCTCTGTAACCTGTTAAGGTCCTTAACAAATCCTTCAGTCGTGACTAGTGCCTGTGAGTTGTGTGTGTGGCCACTGAAATGAGTTATCAAACTCTGTAACTGGAGAAGTAGTGACGTTTGACTGCATACAGGCCCAGGCCCCCAGATCTGTAAGCAAAGCTGTAATGGGAGAGACAGTTTATAGAAAGCGTATGAGAGTCTCCTGTTCGGTAAGGAAACCACGTGTCGATGCTCAGTAACACAGGTTCTAATGAGGGGCCCGGGGACACAGGGACAGGCTAGATATCCTGAGGTCTCTATAATCAACTAGACCCATGCCACCAGAGAGCAGGACGGAGACCTTGCTGCTGCTACTGCATGGCATGTACGTTAGTGCACCCTGGATGACTCAGACAGATAGAAATGTGCTACATGACGTCCAAGCACATGATTATTTACTCGTGTACCTTGACTGCTGGCATGGAGTCTGGCTTCCAGTTCTGTTATCTTGTGCTTTGTTTCAAGTATGGAGAGTTGTACTACATCCCTGTCATTAAAGATAGGCGTTAATTAGGACACAGCTGAAAACAATCATGAGCAGCTCAGCGCACTGAGTCATGGATCACCACTGCCTACAGGCCTGGTTGGGAGCTGAGAGTCGGGCCAGGGAAGGCTTGTGCTTACCGGGCAGCCAGAAGACCACCCACAGGCTCGAAGTGTCACAGGGAGGAAAGACCCCCTAGGGACACATGACTCTGCCTTGAAACCGGACGTCAAATCCGTGGGTCGCCTGGTTTCCCAGTGTCTCATCTACCAGCGACGGTGCTGTTGCTGTGGGTGGTAGAGTGCGTTCGATTCATCGCAACCCTATAGGGCAGAGTGGAACCGCCCCGTAATTTTCTCCAACACTGCAGTCTTTACGATCGAGGAAGTATCAAAAGAGGAGGCAGGATATGGTCAAGAATCAACAACGTTGAAGAAGTCTAAGCTGTGCCAAGGTGTACTGAAGGCACTGGCCCCAAACAAGGCTCAAGCGGACACCAACTGAGGTGCTCCAACAACTGTAGACAGCCCTGGAAGGGCTCACTTATGGGGGAAAGCTAACTACCAACCTGGCTAAGCAACTGGGCAAGATCCAGATCTGCGCCCATTCCAAGGCTGTGATCAGGGGACTGTGGCTTAAAACAAAGAATACCATAAAGTGCTTTACCGACTATGCAAAGTATAAGGCTCTGTGGATAGCAAATTAGGAGTAACATTGCAAAAATGGGAATTCCAGAACATGTGATTGTGCTCATGAAGAACTGTACATAGAGCAAGGAGCAGGGGATACTGCACGGTTTGAAATCAGAAGGTGTGTGTTAGGATTATATTCTGTCACCGCATGATTTCTCTATTCTGTTGGGCCACTTTTCTTTAGAATGAGCACAAATCTGTAAACTGGAAAAATAAGAAGCTGGACTATGTGAAGAGCAACAGGATTGGAGGAGGGCTCATGAACTTCCTGTAGTGGCTACACACTGGGCTGCGATCCTCAAGGTCAGCAGTTTGAAACCACAGCTCCATGGGAGAAAAGCAGTGCTCCCCCATCAACAGTTAGTCGGTCTCGGAAGCTCACCAGGGCAGTTCTACCTTGTACTGTGGGGTCAGTATGAGAATTTTGAGAATATACCGATAAACACAACCTTGTTGCTAAAAGGCAGCAGAACTTGAGGCCCTTCCTGATGAAGATCAAAGCCTTCAGTATGGCTTACGGAAAGAACCTTACACTGGGAACAAAAGACCACCAAGGATTTCATTTTACTTCAATCTAAAACCGACATCCATGGAAGCAGCAGTAGAAGAAACTGAGTCATGCGCTGCAATGGACAAATCTGCTGCAAAGGGACCTCTTTAAAGTGTTCACACACACACGTCACTTTGAGGACTAAAGTGTCCTTAGGTGAAGCTGTGGGATTTGGCTCATTTCTGTGTGCAGGGAAAGCTGGACTGAAGAACTGACGCCTCGGGACCGTGGAGAACGTTGAGTCTCCCGCGGACTGCGAGAAGAACAGATCTGTCTGAAAGAAGTACAGCCAGAGTGCTCCTCAGACACGAAGATGGTGCGACTGCACCTTTGGAGTGTGGTCGAGACCAATCCCTGGAGGAGCAGAGGGTGAGGGCAGAAGAAGGCCCGATGGACTGGCACTGGGTATGTAGCCTGAGCTCAGGGTGCATGGACTCAACTAGGGGGTGTGGACTGAGCTCAGGTTGTGTTGGTCTGAATTTGGGGAGATTTGGACACAACTGGAGGGGTAGTGTGGACTGAACTCGGGGTGCAGGGACCTGAACTCCGGTGCACAAACCTGAATTTGAGGAGGTGTGGACTGAACCTGGGGTGCACAGACTAAATGTGGGGGTGCTGACCTGAATGTTGGGGGTGTGGGGACTGATCTGGGGGGCATGCCCCCCGACTCGCCTCCTGTGGATTTCCTCCAGCAGCTCCAGTTTGAGGCGATCCACGCTCATGCCCTCGAAGCTCTCCCTCGCTCCTTCCCCCATCGTGGCTGCGGAGCCCCTCTCGCCTCAGCTCGGCCGAGAAACGCTCGCGACGAGCGCCCAGCGCACCGTTCTCCACGTGGCCACCACGCTGCCTCTGCCTGGCGAGGCTGTGACGTCAGGGCCCGCTGTGACGTCACGAGGGGCGGCTGGAGACGCGCTTTCACCGCCCGGCTGGGGGGTCTGCTCCCTGAGAGACTGAGCCGCGTGGTTGGGGGCGTGGGGCCCCGTGTTGCAGGGGTGCTGGGGGGCCTGGTGGCGCTGTGATTAAGCGGCGGTGGACCCTCCAACCAGCCCGTGAGTGGAGCCCATTCCCCGGCGGCAGCCCCTGCGTCTTCCTCCCCGGCAGCCGCGAACCACTGGCCTTTCGCCTCGCGCCGAGCGCTTAACCGCGGCGCCACCAGGGATCCTTAAGCAATAGCTCAAACCACTGCCATTTGGTTAGCAACCGGGGGACGTGGGAATGGGCCGGAACGCTCATGGGGCACCGAGCCGCGTGGCAGTGCACGTGGGTGCGCCAGCTGGAGGCCACGGGGCTGCTGTCCGCGGTGTGCCCAGGTGCACCTTCCAGAGGGTTTTCTCAGCCAAAGCCCGCAGATGGACCAGCCTAGGCATGGCTCAGGGCTGCCCATGTGGGATTTCATGCTATTTTTTAAACCTCATTTTTCGCATTCTGCCCCTCAATACAGCCACCTTTGGGCCCATCCACGTTGGGGGTAACACACACACAAAGAAAACCACCCATGGCCTTTATCTGCTCATTTATGCTCCGGTACCTTCCCCATGTTGTCTGGTGCGTCCAGTCCATGCTGCCTGTGGTGCTGGGGGCTTCCTGGGCTGCCATCTTTACAGAGGCGGCCTGGGGACGCTGATGAGTTAGCACCTGGCTGTTAGCTGCAAAGCTGGTGGTTGAAAGCCACCAGCTAAGGACAGGCTGGGGGCTCCTGTGAAGATTTACTGCCTCAAGAACCCTGCCCAGGGTCTCGCTGTCCGGATGCAGCAGTTAGGCTTCAGGCTGCTAACCACAAGGCCAGCAGTTGGAAAGCACCAGCCGCTCCTGTAGAGTGCGGTTGTGGGACCCACAGAGCAGTGAGCGCCACTCTGACTTGGCAGCCGAGTTGGAATGGGCTTCGTGGCAGTGGGCTTTTCACAGGGGTGGTTGATGGAAGCAGATCAGATCTTTGAGCCACTGTGGGTCTGAACGACCAGATCTCTTTAGTTAGTAGCCAGCCACTCAACTGTCTGTACCCCCAGAGCATCTTAGTTTCTACTTGCTCTGAATTAGTGTTACAAAAAACAGTATGGGGTCCACAACTTCTTACCAGAAACCAGATCAGTGCACTTGATCTGGTAATGAACCCTTCCAAACAAGAACTGTATTTTGTTTGTTGCTGTCTCTCTACTACCCAGAGTGGCCCTTAGTGGTCAGCAAATATGCATGGTTGTAGGAGAAAAGTCTTTAACAGATGTATGAAAAACTCTGATTACACACATTTCATCTGGCTTTTGCTGACCAACACCTTCCAGGCTGGGTTCTCTAGAGAAGCAAAGCCAGTGATGCTTATCGATGTAGATAAAAGGACATCTTTATATCAAGAAAATCGCTCCACGTGGATCAGATGTTAGGCCGGCCCGAATAGCTGGGGTGGGGTGGGGGTGGGGGTTTGAACCCAAGATCAGCAGGTAAGGCCACAAGCTGGTGGCTGCAGAGGCAAATGAATCCAAGGTTGGTAGGACAGATGGCTCCCAGGATTGGCAGGCTGTTGGCTTAAGTTCAAAGGACCATAAATCATAAGCCAGATACAGGATCCAGACCCAGCAAGAAGCAAAGCAAGGGGTGCTTTTAGTGTTCACACTCCCTGCGGAAACCTTTCAAATACGTCAGGGCTGTGACTCGGGAAAGGAGGTTGGTGGATCACACCCTAACATTAGAACTGCCTGCCCATAGCCAACCCACTATGAAGTGGATTCCTGTGTGAGGTCACATCATAACACATCACTAGATCTTACCTGCAAGACCATGAAGACTCCTGACCCAGCCAGTATATACATGTAAGTGCACACAGACACACAGCTTCAAAAAGCTTGTGGGTGTGTATTGATGTGTGCCTTTATCACATGCCTTTGTTTCTTCACCTCCCTCATTGCGTGACTCACATGAGATATAAAGGGGGCTGCTTTTTGTTGTACACATTAGTCATATCATGTTAGGTTCCAGTGTAACTTTGAGCGGTTAATTTAAGGTGGTGTGATTCTATGATTTATCAACATGCAATCAGCCTCCATTTTGTGGTTTGACATGAGCAGCCCATCAGACAGGGTGTTTCCCTAGGGTCACGGCCTACAGCTGATAAATGGATATTGGCGAAGCTTGCTCCCTTTAGATGATAAATGGATATTGACGAAACTTGATCTCTAGATCCTGGGTCCTCAGCATCTAACCACCAGTTCTGGGAATGTGCCAACAACCTGCAGGTTTTGGATCTGCCAGCTCTTACAGCTTCGTGAGCAGCAGTCTGCCGTCTGACATGATTTGGGGTTCACTGGCCCTCTGCATCCAGCAAGTCTGGAGATGCCTCCAGCTTGCCGGCCTGACCCAGATGTGGGGCTGCTGGCCTCCACAACGATGTGCACCATCTCTGTAACAGAGATGTCTGTGTATTTATTCTTCCCATCTTCCATGCTGCACCTAATCCATTACCCGTAGCAGTTATTACTCAATTTTGAAAACTTTCTCTACAAGAGGTTCATTTCATAGCAACTTAAATTGTGGGACGAACCCATCTTCTTTAGTCTAAGCAGGGGCCAGCCGGTGTTTCCTGGAAAGGTCCAAACACCAAATAACTCAGGCTCTGCTACCACCATTCGGGAGCCGCCCCCAGCAGTCCATGAGGGATGGAGATGGCCGATCCCAATCACAGTTCACTGACACATGCAGGCAGCCAGCTGAATGTGGCCCCAGGCTGAGCCAACCTTACAGATGCCAAGGCTTGGTAAACCTGCTAAAGGCAGAGGACTGACAGAACCATTCACCAATTAGATTTGCTTTCCATTTTATCGCGCTGGTCCCTTGGCCTTAGAAAGGGGCCTCATCAATTCTCTGTGTCCCCAAATTACATTTCCCGCGAACACACCTGAGAGGCTAGGAGACTTGGAGAAAGCTGCTTTTATTCACAAGGTGCACTCTGCAGACAGTTTCAAATAAAGTCAAGAATTCAGGAAAAGTTATAACAGAGTACAGCTGTGGAAACCAGTCTCCATCTTTTAGAAGCAATGAAAAAATCACAGTGCCTTAGGTGTCTTCTCCCGTTATTACAGCTTGTGGTTGTATCAAACGCCTATCTTCTGCCACAGGGAAACCTAGAAGGCCCAGTGGCCAGGGACCGACTGGGCCAGTGTTCCTTCATGTTCTTTATCTGCATTACAAATGCACCTCTGCTTCAGAAAACAATTCCTGGACTCTTTAAAATGTCAGCAAACAATTCCCTTTCCGTTTACAAAGCTTTAGGCCGTTGGACACACCTACAGAAACAGGAACGGTAAAATGACTTGTTCTAACACTCTTTGGTCCAATGAAGCTCGTGATGATCACATTGAATTTTTCTATAGAAACCTGTCAATCACACTCCTAAAGTTCCAAAAGCTCCTGAAAGGCCTACAGTAAAAATCTTGAAACAAAATGCTTAAAGATCCACTGATAGTTTTTAATCAAAAGGGCTATCATCCCATTGACTGACGAAATTTGTTTTCAAATTTCATCTGCTTCCCACTGCCCGTCTGCTGCCTGTGATGAGCTGGGTGTGAAAATGCTATAGTAGTAACACTGTTGCTGACACACTGAAAACTGACAGGCAAGCACCTTAAAATAAAACAAAAACACAATGAATGAAAAAGAGGAGACACCATCCTCAGCCATTCTTTTCCAGTATAAATAAAACGGAGGTTACAAGTGCCAATCTCCCTGGGAACAGAGAAGCCCTACTTCTGGCTTTCTGAAAGATGGCAGGTACAAAACTAGGCTAACATTAGATTAATGAGGTTTGTAAGAACACGCACCATTAGTGTTATTTTGTTTGCAAAAATAGTTTAGCCACGCATAGGAAGGGGAAACAATAAAGCTACCAAGAATACACTGTGTCCCCCTCTCTTCCCTAGAGAGTAGGGCAGGGCCAGAGGGATGGATATATATATATATAAAAATACTGCTTCCTCTGAAAACATTCACATTCGCCTGTTGAACACACTGCACTCACTGTAAGGCTTGAGTTGTGGAGTTGGGGTAGCTGACCCCCCTACCCATCACTTCTCTTTCTTCTTCTTCTCCTTCTCTTTCTTCGGTTCTAGCTCCTTCTCCTCGGATGTCCCCTCCAGCGGCTCCTCCCCCTGCCCAGCCCCGTTCACACTGGCTCCGGCTCCTTCCAGAGCTTTCCCCTGGGCGTTATCGGCGATCTTGTACTCATCCAGGATGGTGTGCCCTGTCTGCTTGGCTGTCTTCTTCACCATGGCTTTGATGCCCATGTTGTTGATGTTGAAGGCCGTCACGCCCACGTTGACTGCAGAGTCCACGGCATCATGCGTGGCCTCCCCAGCGGGGTGCCCGTACCTTCAGGAGACAAGAGAAAAAGAACACCAATAATAACCAGGCAGGCAGCACTTCTCACCCTCCAGCTAAGTCAAAGGGTCAGTGGATGCCTCCTGGCAAGGAAAACCAGAGGTCCGGTCAGACGGCCAGCTGTGCGGTGACTGTGCCCTGGGCAGGCAGACCCCGGCCACACCTCAGAGACCCACTGGGGCACACGGCTATCTGGTAACTGGGAGTCAGAATGGACTGCATATTTCGGTTTGTGGTGTAAGCACTTATAACAATAGTAATTGCAGTACCTGCCCTAACCACCCGAGTTCCTTAGTGTCTTGAGCACCAAGGTACCCAAGCACCATGACCAAGCACCAGGCACGTTCAGAAAAGTGGAATCAGAGAGAGATGATCCTCAAGCTTGGGAGTCCCTCACACAGAAGCAGAAGTCACATCAGCTGGAGCCACGCTTTGCCGTGGGGACGAGCAGGAGCGAGAACTGACAGGACTCACTGGCCTGCGGGCTGCTGCCTGCATCCCTGGGACTCAACAGCCTGCAGGATGGGAAGCGGGAGATGATCCAGGACGCACCCGAGAAGAGTCAATAGGGCAGGCAGGACTGGCACCGAGCTCCCAAGGGGAAGCCCACAATCGCGCTGACCAGCACATGCCAGACCCGCCACAGCAAGGCCTGGAAAGAATTCCACCCTCCAACCAAACCCACTGCCGTGGCGTTCACTCCAGCTCACAGCGAGCCCGTGCATGGTTTCTGGGGCGATCACCCTCACGACAGCAGATGGCCTCGTCGTTCTCCTGTGCACTGGGACCTGGGTTTGAGCCACCAACCTTTTGGTTAGTGGCAGGCTGGCACCCAAGAGGCTGCCTACCAGCACACACACTAAGAGTCAAGATGCAGATTTAACTGAGTCAAAAGCAACTGAATGGAATGAAACAAGTACATTACGCAGAATTTAGGTACAAACATCAACTGCCCACCAACAGACATTCCAATGACAGTGGCATATTAAAACGGCTGAGGGAATTCCGAAAGGGGTCGTGTCTAGTCAAGCGACACAGCCCTCCTCGGAAGCAACGTCAGGGGAGGAGAGGAGCTGCGGTATACCACGCAGAGGGGCTGGAATTACAGCCGGCAGGTTTAGTTACTCACTGCCGCCACCGTGCTGCTGCTGCTGCTGCTCACCTCCTCCCCACCCCAAACAGGACAAAAACACCGCTGGCCAACCCTCCGCGGCCACGACCTAACCACGGCAGATGCCCAAGCCGTTCCCGTGGTTTATCAGCACTGGCGTTCTGAAGGCATCAGAGCCACAGAGCAGCCACGTCTCTGTGAGCCCATGAGACAGCACCATACTCTCGGCTCGTTTATCCCGCACATCTCCACAGGAATCCTCTCTCCAGGCAGGGTGCATGGGACTCGTCTTCCTGCTCTCCCAAGCAGCGGCTTTAGAGAGTCAGTGGCAGCCATGTCAGAGGCCCTCCCCTCCAGGGGCTGATTCCTCTCTGTCTCAATGGTACAGAGGTCCCCTACTGATAACTTTTCAAAGCTCGCAGGAGGGCACAACTAACCCATCCCCACGGCAGGGTTCATACAGCTCATCTGCATGGCCCCATGCCCACACGTGCACCATGTACCTTATCTACTAACACTACAGAACATTTGTGTACGTGGATATCTATGAAACGTATCTTGGTAAACAGGCTCGGTGAGCCCTTCCACCCCTCGACCGTCTGCCGTCGCAAATCGGAGTCAGGTGCTACGGAGCTGCTGCCGCAACAACCGCAGCCTGGCTGCTCCTCGTGTTTGTTGGCTCTTGGAGGACATGCTGATAACACGTCAATGACACGATGAAGTTCCACCACACTTTCTGCTAAAAAGCATCCTGGATGTACTGCTTCCAAAACAGAGGCGTTCCTTCTTCCGCCACAGCCCGTGCTACACTCCCCGCTCCCCATCAGGAGCCACGCCAGTCATCCAGCCCTCCTGACGCAGTCCGACCTCCACATGCCTGTGAGGCCACCTCGCGTCAGGCACGCCCAGTCCTCAAGCACCCTTGCTCTTCCACACTGAAGAGGAGGCCTTGTGCAACAGGCTCACCCAGTGGGATGTATCTGCTGATCGCTGCACTGCTGCTTCCAAGCATCGATTCTGGATCCAACCAAGAGAAAATCCCTGACTTCAACTTTCCCCTATTGATCACGTTCCCTATCAGTCCAGTTGTGAGGACCCTGGTCTCACATGAGCTGTAATCCAAGCCGCAGACTGCAATCCTGGATCACCATCGAGTGCCTCAGGTCCTCACTTTCAGCAAGCAAGGCCTCTCCCTTGCCGAGTCACAGGCTGTCCACGAGTCTGCCCCAACCCTGCCGCCACACTCTCCCTATGATCCGGCTTCTCTGAGGAGCTGAGGGTTTGCTCCGTGAACAAGCTGAGGAAGTATGGTGAGAAGACACAGCCCTGATGCCTACCTTCCCTGACTCGGTTTGCTCAACTTCCTCCTGATCCATGTACAGCTTCAGCGTGAGCACAATGGTAGGTTCTGGAAATCCCATCGTTTATTGAGGTCCACATAGTTGAATGCCTTGACATTGCTAACGAAACACAAGTAAACATCTCTCTGGTAGTTGCTGCTTGCAGCCCAGATCCGTCTGACATCAGCGACGACATCCCTTTTCCACCTCCTCTTCTGAACCTGACCTGATCCTAACCTGAACCCCCATCAATGGACTGCCGCAACCTTTGTTGAACGATCCTCAGCAAAGCAGTGCCTGCGTGTGACAGCAATGATGCCGTCTTAGAACCTGAGCCTCCTGCTGGGCCTCCTTCCTGTGGAGTGGGCACAAACAGGGGTCTCGTCCAGCCAGCTGGCCAAGGAGCCGTGTCCCAAGTAAATCTAACGTCCCCACGCTGGCTTCACACACGTCCCTCAGTCTTGGCACCTTTGCACCGAGTTGTAGTCCTCACTGAGGCCGCAACCCTTGATCGCCATCACCAAGTGCTGCCAGTCCTCCTCACTCCCGCAAGCATGGTGGTGCCACTTGCTTACCACAGGCTGTTAATACGCTGTCCTCCAACCCTAACAGCACACTCTTCTCCACGCAATCCAGCTTCTCTGACCATCTGCTCAGCAAACAGTGACCCAGTCTGGTGGGAGGACACAGCCCTGTGCTACGGGTCTTGGACCATCCCAATCGAGGCACCACGGTGGCACACGGGACTACAGAGTTGGGAACAGGACCGTGCATCGCGTTAGAACTGCTGACAGGACAGCGGGATGGGACTTCCCATCAATGGCACACTCAGGCAGGGCCCCCTGGGGCTGGAGCAATGGTCGCTTCTCTCTCAAGCTCTCCCCCAGCTGGTGACTGTCCTGAGGGATTTGGGGGGCAGGAAGGATTCACATGGAGATGTGAACGGATTTCAAGCTCCCCCACTGCAAACCATGGCCCTGCACAAACCGGAGGCTTGACTGGGAGCTCCGGCAGGGCTCGGCCTATGCCGCGTCAGCAGGGACTGCACATTCTGCTGTCTGAAAGTCTCAGGGAGGCATAATTTCCCAGCTGGTCGGAGCAGGGGAGCATGGGAGCTACCTCCCACCCGCTCTATCCCATTCCACCTCACGCCCCTTTTCAGAGGAAGAGCTTAGAGGAACAGAAGGCCATGAAGCCCACTTGTCACGTCTGTATGCGCTCCTCCTTCCCTCGCCCTGACTGGCCCAGGGCACAGGGGCGGGGGCTCCCCGGGCCCTGCTCCCTGTCTGTCTCAGGAACGGGTGGAAGAATGGCTGTGTATCAGGCTCCAGACCAGAAGACACTGCAGGCACCTCAGCACCAAGCGGGCGGCTGACTCACTTGTAGCGGACGGTCTGCACGGTCTCCGCGGACACGTTGCTGACAATGCACTTGGCCGCACACTCCAGCCCCTGCCAGACGGTGGAGAACCCTGCAAGGACAGGGCTTCCCAGTCAGCGGGCTGCATCCCAGCCCCCCCGCCCCTGCCCACCCCCCCACACACATCCCAGCGTCACCTTGCACGCTGCTCGCTGCCACCACCAGGGCGCCATCCAGGGGCGACTTCCCGTCACTGTCCCTCCTCAGAGACTCGGGGACCAACTTGCTCCCATGCTTCTTGACGTGGGGAGCCAGCTCCTTCCCGACACAGTTCGCCACGGAGCAGACACCATCCACTGGCACAACAAACCACAGGGGCTGCTCAGCTGGGGGGACAGCCATGCCCGCATGCTCAGCCCCCACCCAGAATCTGGCCTCACCCTGGCAGGTGCTTCGGGAGCACTGTGTGGGAAGCACAGCACCCAGACAGGCGGGAGCTCCCAGGGGTCTGCTTCCAAGCCCTGCCCTCTTCACCAGGGGCCACAGGGGGCACCCGCTAAGTGTGCCCCCAGGTCCAGAAGCTGCTTCCCAGCGCCCACTGTGGTAACCACACACAGGTGATTCAGAAGAATCTCACCATCGTCTGGTGGCACCGAGTCAGTGTTCAGTACCAAAACCAACCAAAAGCAAAAACAGAAAAGCCACCTCACTAAATGGGAGTCTGTTTCAGGAGCACCTGACCATCTCAAGATGGACAGACATGTCTTCCCAGGGGAGATCGGCACCAGCTCTTCTCAACATGCCTCTCATGTCCCCCTTTCCAGCTGATGAGCAGTCGTGAGTCCCCCACCATCTACAGCCCCCCACTCAGACTACAGCCCGCCCAGATGTGCCAGGAGCCCTTCTGCTCTGCTGACTCGGCCCCAGATGCAGGTCCCTCTCCCTCAGAGCATGGCTGCCTGAGGACTCACGACCCCCACCCACACCAGAGCACCAGCAGCTGACAGAAAAGGAGGGGTCACGGGTGGCGGTGCTGCCGACTGCAGTCCCGGGCAGGGCACCAGGGTGAGGCCGGATGGAAGGGCCGGGTCAGGCCAGCCTCCGAGGAGCCACATTACCCAGGAACTGGCTGACTTTGGCAGCGCCCCCGCTGGCCTGCTTGGCAATGTGGAGGCCCTTGGTCACGGCTGGGCTGACTTCCACCGGCTTCTCCTCGGGCTGGATCCGCTCCCGCAGCTTGGAGGCGCCCTTCTGGATGGCTCTGCCCGTGAACTCCGCACCTTTGACTAAGCCCCAGCTTACCCAGGAGGCACCTGGCAAGAAAAGGTCGCATCCCATCCATTAGGACCTCCAAGAGGCCACCAGCCTGACGCCTGAGGGGACAGACCCTGTTGCAGGGGAGCGTGCAGGGGCACTGGCCAAGTGCCTTGTGGAGCTCTGCGGGGCTGACGCAGCGCTGCCAGGACCGAGGCCCGCGTGTCCTCAGCCGAGTGATGCTCCCTCTGCCTCGGCCACGGGAGGGCTTGGGAGGAAGGTGGGTAAACCCTGGAAAGCGAGGTGTCCGTTTGGGGAGCCTGATCTCTATCTCCCTCCGTCTGCCCGTGCGGAGAACCCTGAAGTCATTCTAGCTGACTTCCAAGCGCTGAGCGCTGGGCGCTGGTGCCCCTCCTGGAGAGCAGTGTAAGCATCGGTACAACACAAAGTGGGTCTGGGAGGACAGCAAGCAGCGCTCAGGTGCCACACGTCTCTCATGAGCGGCATCAAAGGGAAACCTGTGCAAGGCCGGGCCTTGGCTGGCCCTGCCGGCAGGTGGCATGGGCACAGGAGAGAAGGCTGTGCGCTCGGGGCTGCCCGGCTCTGGCCGCCCGGCACAGAGCAGCGCCAGATGAGCTCAAGCCTGGGGCCTTCGTGGAGCTTCTGTGTTTGTCTCTAATCTGTTCTCACGGAAAACCAGAACGCCCCAGAGCACCCTCCTGAACACCGAGACGTGACACACAAAGCTCAGCATGTGCCACACTGCTTGGGAAGGCGGCCTGGCTGTGACCCAGCACGAGGAGGGTCTGGGGGCCGCCTGGCATTGTCCCCAGCGGCCTGTACCTGACAGAATGTTCTGAGCCACCTTCTCGCTCCACTCAGGCACCTCCTTGGATTTCTCGGCGGACGCCGGCTCACAGGGGACCATGTGGCCCAGGTTGATTTCCTCACTGGCACCATCCTTAGCCTGAACCAGAGGGGTGTGGCAGAGGGGGGAGTGGGGGTCTCAGAAGAACAAGCATGAGGGGCTGTCACAGGACCCGCCCCACAAGCCTGTGCACATTCACCGGAGAAGGACGGACCCCATGGGGTGACGGGTGACCTGCTCAATCCCCATGCTGAGTGCAACACCCCCCCACACACAGGCTCAGCAGAGAGCCATCCTGCTCACGAGAGCACCCAGCTCAGTGGAAGCCACAGCCTCCCCAATGGGGCATGGAGCCCACCACCCGAGCAGGCCCCCTCCATGAGGGCATCATGCTGAGGGCCTGGGGTCAGAGCTCCAAGCCTTTCCTGACTGGATGCGGCCCCTGCATGAGGGCGGGCCCCTGGGGCCTCCTGTCCCCTGGTGCTCAGAGACTCAACAGGGACACGGACAGAGGCCACACAGAAGCCACCTGGGCAGCAAATCAGAGCCCGCACACACAGACCCGCTCCCTGCTGTGTCCTCCCCTACGCCGGCCACTCTGCAGTCTGCTGTCCACAGCCAACACAGACCCGCTCCCTGCTCCATCCCCACGACTGCAAGCACATCTCGTGAGGTCAGAGATCTGAACTTTGCTCTTTACACGCGGCTCCTAGGAAAGGAACAGTGAAGCAAACCACTGCAAGCTGACAAATCCCGCCAGTGGCAGGGGCAGGCCACAGGATGGACACAGTAGGAGCAGCCTCCTGCAGCAGGGCAGGCGGGGTCCCCAGCACTCACGGCGGTAGAAGGTGGTGCACAGTCGCCAGCATAGGAGGCAAACGCATCATCCAGGAAAGATCACTCAAACCGCCCAATCTGAATGCTCCCTTCCCGTCCCGCCCCGTCCCGTCCCGCGAGCACATGCCTGCTTTCCTCGCTTCCCTTTCGGGCGCACATCCCGAGCACCCGGGCCCAGTGGCCGTGCGCCACTGCCTGAAGACGGCCTGGCTCTCCCAGGGATCTGAAACTCGTCCTCGCCGCTCTCCGCCCGGTTCCAGTTGGCCTGCGAAGGAGAGGACGGCACGTGGCAGCGCGACACCCACCTCCACCACCAAGGCTCTTTCCGTGGGTGGGCCGGGGAGCACCCCCTCACTCAGGTGCCCTCCAGCCCCACCGACCAGAGTGGTCGCCACAGCACACTTCTCATCAAGCAGACGGTGCCGCGCAGCCCGCTGACCAGGCCGGCCGGCCGGCCCCCAGCCAGGCTCCGTCCCAAGGCCCTCGAGCCCCGGCACGTGACTCCTTGTGGCCGGTGCTACGCAGTCGGAAATGACCATGGGCAGCCACAGGGACAAGGGCTTCTGAGGGCAGCACCACCCACCCCAGGAGAGTCTGAAGCTCCTCTTCCCTCACTGGATGCCATGCAGTTACAACCACAGAAAACCTCCCAGCCGGCCACTCTGTGCGCCCAAGCATCAGGAGACCAAGGCTGGAAGCCAGGCAGGGTGGATGTGAGGGTGACAGACACACACCAATGGGGCAGGGTCTTGGTCTCAGTGGGTGGCAGGGACAAGGTGTGATCTGAGGTAGCTCGTTTTCATAGAATGACCTGGTCTTTGAATGTAACCTGTGTGGTGCGTGAGGCGGAAGTGTGTGCGCTCACGTAACAGAAATTCGGGGCAGTGTTACACAGGGGCTTCAGGAAGGTGGCAATGGGCTAGCTGACACCCCAGTACAGCTGCTGTCTCCTCCTGCGGCCCACCAGGCCCAGACCTGCCAGAGGGGCTCCAAGGGCCCTGGGGTGCACATCAGGAATGGCAGGGCTCCCGCAGAGGGCCCGCCCCCAACACTGCCACAGCTCCCCACCAGTGAGCAGAGTGGCATGGTGACCACGGTCTGGGCAGCCCTTTCTGCTGAGCCCAGCTCCGGTGCCCGAGGACGAGATGCTCCACAGGCTGACCCTGCGCTGCTCCTGTAGGTGCTGTGGGTGAGGCGGGGACTGTGAGACTAGCGGTCCAACCCTCCCTCTGGTTCCACGGGAGATGAGGCTGTCTGCCCCTGCACTTTGACAGCCTCGGCCCCGCCCCGGGCCAGGGCTAGCTCAACGCTGCCCAGAAGGTGGCTGAGCCAGACTGGACAGTGCAGTTAGCCCCACCCCTTCTCTAAGCTGGGGG